TTTTTTTGTTGATTTTAGTTGAGTTTTTTTATTTGTGTTTTTTGTTTCTTTTGTGTGTACATGTGTTTGCTCGCTTTGGGGTGTGTGTGTGTGTGAGTGTCTGTGGGTGTGGGTGTTTGTGTGTGAGTGTCTTTTTTGTGTGTGTACATGTGTTTGCTGACTTTGGTGTTTGTGTGTTTGTGAGTGTGTTTGTGTGTGTGGGTGTTTGTGTGTGTGGGTGTGGTTGTATGTGAGTTTTTTTAGTGTGTGAGTGTTCTGTGTGTGGGTGCTAGCTTGGTGTATGTGTGTGTCTGTGAGTGTGTCTCTATGTGTTTGTGTTTGTGTGTGGGGTGCATGTGTCTTCTGGCGCTGCTGGTGTGTGTGTGCGTTTATGCGGTTTTGTGTGTGTGTGTGTGCGCGTCTGTGTCTTTGTTTGGCGCTCTCTCTATGCGTCTGTGTGTGTGTGTGTGTGTCCATGTTTTTGTGGGTATGTGGGTGTGTGTGGGTTGTTGTTGCTACTGATTTAGCTGCTGGTGCTGCTTTTTGTCTTTCCCCTATTGAGGGCCCCAAAGCCTCTTGAATGAGTTGTTACTGCTGTTGTTGTAGTTTTTGCTGCTCGCTTATGTTGCTGATTAAGCTGCTGGTGCTGATATTTGTTTTTTGCCTTTTGAGAGCCCTAAAGCCTGCTGATTGAGCTGCTATTGTTTTTGCAGTTGTTGCTGCTTTCTACTGTTGCTGATTAAGCTGCTGGTGCTGCTATTTGTCTTTTGCCTTTTGAGGGCCTCAAAGTAAATTGATGTTGTCTAGTTTTTTCCTGAGATGTCCACAGATGTTTCTTATTTATATGTGAGATGTTTAGAGTTGATTTAAACCTCTTATATATTTTTATATTTGACTTGTTCAGTTATAGATGTGGTGATTATTGATGTGTGAGGGAGCAATAGAAGGTGTAGTTGAGCTGAGTTTTTTTAGTTGTTATTTTTCGAGTTGTTTGCTAGGTTTGATGTGTTTGCTATATCTTTTTCCAAGTAAACTATTTGTTGGTCCTAAAGTTGTTGTCTTGAGCTGTGGTGTTGTATTTTATAATCTTTTTTCTAGTTGCCTGGAGCTGGGCCGTACTGACCCATACGTCTCGTACATCGTTAAGCCAGCATCGTTGCGTGTAGCAACTTGGGCTGACAGCCTCGCGTACGCACGTAGGTACTGTACCTGTATACTCCTACGTGCGTGCAGTTCAGATAAACGGATGGTGTGGCCGCAGTAGTAAGTACTCATACTAATAATAATTAAAACTGTAGTGTGTGTTTAAAGGATCTATCCGATCAGCTTGTTCGTGAGAATGCAGGGAGGAAGGGAGGAGTGCTTGATTGCTTGTAGAAGATTTGGTCTATCAAATTGGATGTGTTGTAAACATATCTCATTATGGAAGCATGATGAAACCTGTGCATTAATTTCAATCTTCCAATGCCTATGGATTGATATCTCGACTTTCTTTTAGCCTTACCTGAATGAGATGGGAAATTAGGTTCATTATTGAATTTGTTAGAGATATGGTTCCATTTTAATGCTGTCTCGTCAGACCAAATCTTATGCTGTTGATATTCTAGTCCATCTTAGCAAAGCTGTGAAGCCTTGTGGGCAATGCCCAGCTTTGAATGCTAATGGACAACAAGTGTCTCTCTAACGGTTCTACGCTTGGATGAAATGGGGCCCAGATCAATAGGGATGAGACACTGCAAGCTGATTTCATGCCCAATCCAGAGGCTTTTATATGTTTTCTCTTCAATATTTGAACCAGTGTCCAATCCCAACCACACTTGCCTTATTGTGTTTTGTTCTTCTGCCTGTCACTGAAATTGGTGGGCTTTCTTGCTTGTGTACATGTGTTTTGCTAGATTTGATGTTTGCATGCGCATGTGCGTTTTATTGTTGCGCTACTATTGCATATTGGATGTTGGAGCAGTAGTAAGCTGCAGTTGCTGTTTTGCATGCATAGATAACTTATTGGGAGTGGTTGCAGCTGTAGGATGTTATGTTCAGATTGGAATGGGGAAGAGGTATCCAGGAACCATGACCAAAGGAGTCAGAGCTTGTGATGGTAAGAGGCACAGTGACGATGAGGCTTGGGGATGGCAGGCACAGCATAGTAAGAAAAGAGAAGAACTGCAGCGGCAACATCCATCAGTTTAGTTAGTCCTCGCAAGAGCAAAAGCAAAAGCAAAAAAAAAAGATGAATGTGCATGCATGTGTAGTGCAAGCGTTAAGGCTGGATAACGAGCCGGCTCGGCTCGTTTAGGCTCGGCTCGTTAAGATAACGAGCTAGCTCGGCTCGGCTCGTTATCCTAGCGAGCCAGAAAGCCAGCTCGGCTCGTTAAAAGCTCGAGCTGGCTCGTTAAGCTCGCGAGCCAGGTATAAAAAATACACAAAATATAATATTTGTATTTATCTAAAGTTTGAGAATAATAATAATACAAAAGAAATACATCTAGACCAGTTACCAGTCAATTTATAGGGTCTAGACCAGTTACCAGTCAATTGTAAAGTGCAAGACATGAAGTAATACAAAAACTAATACAAGTTTTGATACTTTTTTTCCTGAAAGCTTGGCTCGTTTAGCTCGTGAGCGGCTCGTGAGCTGTCTCGAGTTGGCTCGTTATAGCTAACGAGCTAAAATCTTGGCTCGGCTCGGCTCAGCCGAGCCGAGCCAAGTCGAGCCAGCCACGAGCCGAGCGAGCAACGAGCTTCGAGTTTTTCGTCCAGCCTTAGCAGGCGTGCATCAACTTTGCTATGCTCTTTAGTCTTTACGCTTAGTTGATAACTTTTAGTTGTATTTGTTAACAGGTTTTGGATATTGTTAGATATTGTCTTATGTTATAAAAATCTGACAGATTTTTTCTTTCTGAATCTGTCAGTTTTCCATTATGACGTGTCATCATCTCATTTGTCTAGAACTTGACAGATTTTTTGTTCTGAAATCTGTCGATAGTTGTGTAGATAGACCCTTATTTATTAGTTCCTATGCAAAGTTTTTACAAAGGCCCTGTTCGCTTGTCTTATGAGCCGTACTATTTCAGCGAACGAACAATGTTTTCTTTCTCACAACAAATAAACGAACAGTACATTTAGCCATTGCTTTTCAGTAAAGCGAATAGGCCCAAAGTTCAGATTTTTAGTTATTTTTAAACTATTCCAAAATTCAGGGGGTTACACCAAGAGTACAGTAGGAATTAGTACATATATGTAGCTCTGAAACGGCTCAACCATTCCTGGTTCTGTCGGTGTTCAGTAATCTCGCCTAATCGAGTAATCGGTAGCAAATAGCAACCGCATGCTGTATTCATACTAGTATTATGATTTACTCTCTGAAAATGTTTCAGATATATGACGAATACGCTGCAAGTGTTGAGGAGTTCATAAGAACTGAACATTACTACTGCATGTTAAAGATGGCAAACTTATGAGCATTACTGTGGCGATCCAGGGTTGCATGAGTAAGCATTGAGTTTATCTGTTCTTAAGTTATTACCTTTCTGACGATGTGCCATGAGATGTTGGCAGGACCAACACAGGCAGGCAACACCTAGCCGTCAATGGCCGGAGCAAGGAACCGCAACACAGTCCCAGTGCCCATGGCCCCATGTGGAAATCCGTCACAGATGGCAGCGCGGGCGTGGTTACGTACCCATCATGACCGGCCGCCTGCAATTAATGAATGATGGTTGCAAACGAGAGAGCCGAATGGCATTTGCGCGCGTACCCATCTTTTATCTTTCCGGAAGAACAGAGACGTGGCGCACCGACGCAGCAGAGCGCCCTGCACACGTCCCGCCCGCGCCCGTCGCTACGTGTAATGTTCCCACGGGGCTCGGGGCTTCCAATCCATTCATGCATGCCCACGTACCCCTCCTGCCGTGGCGCCCAGATCCTAATCCCTTCGCCGTCCTGCCGCCTATAAATGGCGGCGTCGACCTTCACCTGCTTCACCACCAGTGAGCCACAGCGAGAACACGACGAGCACGCAAGCACACACAGGCACAGCTCTAGCTTAGCCTAGGGAGAAACCACCAAACCGTGCAGCCATGGAGTACGGTCAGCAGGGACAGCACGGCCACGGCACCACGGGCCGTGTGGACCAGCACGGCAACCCAGTCGGCGGCGTCGAGCACGGCACCACCGGAACCGGCGGCTTGGGGTACGGTACAGGAACCGGAACCGGCGTCGCTGGCATGGGTGGTGGGCAGTTCCAGCCAGCGAGGGAGGAGCACAAGACCGGCGGCATCCTGCATCGCTCCGGCAGCTCCAGCTCCAGCTCGGTAATTACTTGATTTTTTTTTCTTTTTGTATTCTATATACGCTGCTTCGTGGTGCCAAATCTTATAACACTGTAGAGAAAAATGGACTCTAGTCCCGGTATTTTTTTGCGCCCGGGACTAGAGAGACCTTTAGTCCCGGTTGGTGTCTCCAACCGGGACTAAAAGTTCCTGTCCAACGGCTACTGCGCTCGGCATACTGGCAGGAGACCTTTAGTCCCGGTTGGAGACACCAACCGAGATTAAAGTTGGACCTTTACTCCCGGTTGGAGACACCAACCAGGACTAAAAGTCCTCAACCTTTAGTCCCGGTTGGTAACACCAACCTGGACTAAAGGACCCTTTAGTCCTGGTTGGTGTTACCAACCGGGACTAAAGGTCCCCCGATGGGTTAGTTCAAAAGGAAAGCATCCCATCCATTGTTAGATGTGTTGTGTAGGTGGGGTGGTAAGCTACGCGCGAGGCAATGCATGGGGTCTTAGGACGCAGCGGTGGAAGACATTATTTTTTTAAAGCTGGGAGGACTTTTAGTCCCGGTTGGTGTTACCCATCGAGACTAAATGTCCCCCTTTAGTTCCGGTTCTTGACCCGGGACTAAAGGACCCTTTTAGTCCCGGATGCTTACTCCCGGGTGGGGAACCGGGACTAGAGGGGGTTCCCCACCGGGAGTAAAGCTCTGTTCTCTACCAGTGTAATATGGTTTTGTGAAAGTTTGAGGACGACGGCATGGGCGGAAGGAGGAAGAAGGGAATCAAGGACAAGATCAAGGAGAAGCTGCCCGGAGGCCACAAGGACAACCAGCACGCCACGGCGACCGGCGGCGCCTACAGGCAGCAGCAGGGACACACCGGCGGAACCTACGGTACCGAGGGTACCGGCGAGAAGAAAGGCATCATGGAGAAGGTCAAGGAGAAGCTGCCTGGACAGCACTAATCGTCCGGCGTGTGAAAGCCGTACTTAATTACGGTCACTGTGTTCCGTAGATAATAGATGAACCCGGCCATGAATAAGTGTCCTTACCCTATCACGACCGCTCGTGTGACAGGGACAGTTTCCGCTTTTTGTGTGGTGAGTTTGTATGTGTGTAACTTGGTCCGGGTACTGTTTATGTTGTGCATGCTACATCGTTTTTCTTAGTAAAAGTAATGAGCTTTGTCATGGTACTCGACAGGAACCCGTGGTTCCTCCCGAGGAATAATTATTTGGTCCTAAAAAATACCTTTAGGATAATTAAAAGTAATTTAAGGGTTATATGGGATGCTTGACCCGCTGAGAGCCTTGCCGCCGTCTCAACTCGGCATCGGCGTCTGCGCAGAGTCCAGGCCGTCGCGCTACTGAGGTGTCCGTGTTCTAGGCCGTCTACAGCAGAATGAAGGGCATCGTCCAGATGCACAACCCCAGCATGGGTAAAGTTAAATGTGCCCCACCCTCGCCGACACCGACGCCAAGGTCAAGGAGGCGCTCCGCATGGCCGCCGTCAACCGCACCGTGCTCGTCCTCCTTCCGAGGACCTCTTCTCCAAGGTGCTCAGGATGGCCACCCTCATGCGTGGCCTCACTATTGTTTAGATTGGGGTTAGCAATTAGTATTGGGTACTGTAGCACTTTCGTTTGTATTTGATAATTATTGTCCAATCATAGCCTAATTAGGCTCAAAAGATTCGTCTCGTAATTTACAATTAAACTGTATAATTAGTTATTTTTTTATCTATATTTAATATGTATGTGTCCAAAAATTTAATATGATGAAAAGAGTGAAAAAACTTACAATCTAAACCAGGCCCTAGTCAACTACCATGCCCTAGTCACTACCATGTAAGCACCTGCATCTCTGCATCGTTTGCATGCATGCCGCCACGCCATTGCTATGGATGCATAGCAACAAGCTCACTTCCATCGATCTGATCTGCTGCAGACTAGTGATCTGATCTTGCTGCAGACTGGAACCGGATGCGCATCTCGGTGAACATCATCACGTAGAACTGCGCCAAGTCGCTACTGCGTCTGGGGACGTCGCTGCGGATTGAGCGCCTACTACCTGGGCGACGAGGTGCCCATCAACATGGACAGCGGCGTGGACGCGGCGACGCTCAAGGTCGTCAACTCCTTCGACAGGCCGCACAGGCCCAAGACGCTCTGACGGCGGATCATCCCGGGTGGCTTGATCCGGGCGGTGAGCGAGAGCTGGTACCCGTCCTCCAACGAGGACTACGGCTCCTCCTGGAGGACGACATCGAGGTGTCCTCATGGGGGCCGCGGCCACCGCGATAGATGGTGCTGCGGATACAAGGAGATAATGACACAGCTCGTACAGGAGATAAGGGGTAGAAACTAGAAAGTACTGTTTTACCCTTTAAATTTGTTTTAGAAATAATTCTTTGACATATATATTTGGTTCCAGGCCCACATATTTAAGGTTCTAGCCCACAACTTAAGTTCCTCTATATTGGTTCTTTTTATTTTATAGTCATCTAATCTATCCAAATAAAGGGCTGTGGTTTTTTTTAAGCACTGTAAAATTTCACAAAGTATATATATACAGTACATGCGAGTGGCTTTATTTGTGTATATATAGTTAATCTCTCAGTTACTGCAAATGCAAAACAGCAATAATATCTCTTCTAAAAAAAATTCTAAAAAGAAGAACACAATTTTGGATTCTGAGTCTCCTAAATATGTCTAAATTTATAGAAAAGTATAAAAAAATTATGAGATTTATTATGAAAATATAATCTAATCACATTTATTTTTATATAATAAATGCAATTTATGAATGCTACTCTCTCCTTCATTCCAAATCGTAAAACATTTTGAATTTTCTTTATTCCAAATAGTAAAACATTTTGATTTTTCCTTTTGTACAACGATAAAATCGAATTTCATTACCAAGCCAACGAAATTACAGTCACAGTTTTAGAACCATAGTACCAGAAGAACCACATAAAACGATCCATGCGCATGATCACACAGGGAACATGAGCACGGATAACCACTACCGCTACTACCAAGAATGGCGCAAAGAGTAGACTAAATGCGAGCTTTGGAACTCAGCCAGCAAAAGGATCAACTGACGATCATCAGTGGAGTAGGATTGCACATCTTGCTTGTGAAATGAAAGGGCCACCATCTTCACAGCTTTTGCGCCTTGTATCACTTGCTGCTTGAGGTCGTCCTCAGCATACCTACCCAGTATGTAAGAAAAGAGCACATCATAAAAATAATCTCAGTAGGAGTTTTGATTCTTTTCTTATCAAAGCACACAGTATTTCTAACTCTCCATATAGCCCAGCACACGGCAGATAAACCCACAGCATGCATTTGTGAACCCTGAGGGAGAATATTATGAACCCAAATCCAATATTGATCAATATCCCTAGGTCTACAGTCTGTTCCTAAAGAATAAGCCAGCAGGCTGCAAATATATTTTGCGGTTAAGCATAAAAAAACAGATGATTTCCAGTTTCCTTCTCATCACAGAAAGCACAAGTATTGTCACCTTTCCACTTCCTTTTGATCAAAATTTTGATCTTCAAGGGCATTTTGGCTTTCCATATTTTCCTAAAGTTAAGCCCAGTCATTTTTACAAAGATGCTTATAAGTCAACTTAACCGAGAAAACACTAGATTTTTCCCAATACTAGTTAGTTCTATCTTTTTCCTCATTTGTACCGCAACAAATCAAAATATCATGTAATCGCCTCAACTGATTTTGCAAATCTTCATGCAACTATCTTCTAAATGTGAGATGCCACCTTTTCTGCTTCATAAATTCCACAGATGCATCTTGCTCCTTATTGATAGCGTATATGTCGGGTTTATGATCCCCGGGTATCTCAAGGAATCGATTAGCTAGCAGGCCGAGCGGCCCATGATACACCAACTAGCGAAAGTCCAAACGATCGAGGCCTAGTTAAGCCAAGCGGACCAGGCTAGGCGACAAGGACGGAGTCAGCCACGACCCCTCCTCTCTGCCTTAGCCAAGCGCTGCACAAGGGTCCACGACCTCTCCACCGTCCTGACCCCTGGGAGGAGCGGAGGGAGGTCGAGCGCAGCCAAGCGCGCCTTCTCTGATGAGAGTAAACTTGCCGCACTGACCCCGCAAGGACCGAGGGGACACCGGTCACCTCGGTCCGGTCAGACACCATCCCTGCGCCACACAGCATAAACAAGACAACACCACATAGCGGTGACGGCCAGTACGCGACCCTCCATCCAAGTACGGTCCAACAAGACATATGTATGATTCTACCCACTACGGGATGGGATCCACGACGGAGCCCTTGATTTCGAAGCCATCTTGATCGGCGGAAGCCACGACCCTAGAGTTCGGGATCGTGGCCACCAACTCGACAAGCTAACCAGACAACCGACGATCCGGGGGAGGCTACCAACTCTTGTACGACGCCCCCAGAAGAACAAGAGGCAATGACAAAGGCCATTATGGAGACCACGTTGCACAGGACGGCTGGCGAACCACCACCGTGCCTACAGTGTCGCCACGGCTGGCACAGTAGCACCACATCACACCTTACCGCGACGTGGGCATAAGACCATGACCACGTCCAAACGTGCACCACAAGACAGCGTAGCTTGCAAGCCAAGTTAGTTAGGCCCCTCCCTCAGGCTCACGACCCCTCGGTCAGGAGAACCTTCTTCTTTGTACATGCCCTGGCCCCAGACTATATATAAGGGCAGCCAGGGCATCCTTCCCACCATCTTCAACACATTCACACCGTAGTAGGGCTCCTGAAGCTTCCCTTCAGGCAGTCCATCTCCTAGCTCTAGCTCTCCTACCTCTTCCACTATTCTTGCACCCCCCATTGTAAGAACTTCAGAGCATTCAAGCGAGGAACACGCACTCGATCATCTCTGAGACTAGACGTAGGGCTCTGGTCTGAACCAGTATAAATCATCGTGTCTTTTGGATGCTACCATGGTCTTCCTAGAGCTGCGTGGCAATCGTATAAATTTACTAGTCTGGTTTACAAAACACCGATAGTTGCCGCGCTTGGTAGTGGATAGTCGCGCACTCTCGTTGTCAAGAAGGAGGCGATGGCTCCTTGCACAGTCAGTGGATTCACCCGCGGAATGGCCCACTGCGGTCACATCTGTCTTGAAAACCATGAGTTCATCGACGTCGAAGGGCCAGCATCCTCCCTCGCCGAAGGTCACGTCCGAGTTCTCTGTTCCGGAGACCCAGACCCCGTGACTAGCAGTGAACAAGCTCGCGGAACGGCCCCCGGTGGCCGCATCCGAGAGCTCAACACGACGGGAGGGCTAGCACCCTCCCTCGCGGAAGGTCACGTCCAAGTTCTCTGTTTCGGAGACCCAGACCCTGTGACCAGCGGCAAACAAGCTCACAGAACGGCCCCCGATGGCCGCATCCGAGAGCTCATCACGATGGGAGGGCCAGCACCCTCCCTCACCGATGGTCACGTCCGAGTTCTCTGTTTTGAAGACCTGGACCCTGTTACTAGCGGTGAACAAGCTCACAGACGGCCCTTGATGGCCGCATCCAAGAGCTCCACATGATGGGAGGGCCAGCACCCTCCCTTACCGAAGGTCACGACCGCGTCTTTTGTTTCGGAGACCGGAACCCTGTGGCCCATGGCAAGCAGACCCGCGGAACGGCCTTCAGAAGCCATGCTTGGGAACCTGTCACGAGTAGACAGTCAGCGCCATCCTACGGCGCAGTGCTCATCGACGAGCCGAAGCGAAAGAAGGCTCCAGCGGGGAGAGAGATCAACATGGTCGCAGCCCAAGCCAGAGCCACCCCAGCTTATTTGAAATGGATGGAAACAGCGATCACCTTCGATTGGTCCGATCACGCCAACCACATTCACCTTACTAAGATGTTGATGGATGGGGGAAGCGGACTCAACGTCCTATATGCACCGACGTACGACGCTATGGGCCTCCCCAGAGCATTGCTATG